CCGCTGCAGTTCCTCCTTGCGTGCCCTCGACTCCTCACGCTGCTGCTTGGCAAGCTCGGCGCGCCGGCGCTCCTCCGCCTCGCGCGCCTCCTGCTGGGCCTTCAGTTCCTGCTCCAGCTGCCGCTTCGCCTCCTCGGCCTCCTTCGCCCTCCGCTCACGCTCCTGTTCCTGCCACCTGGCGCCTTCCTCCTTTCCTGTCCGCACCTTCTCGGCGAGCGCCTTCTTCTCGCCCTCCTCGGCACTGCGGGCCTCGGCCAGCAGCCTCTCAGTCTCGGCCTGCAGCTCCTCCTTCTTCTTTCTCCTCTCCTCGGCCTGCTTCCGCTGCAGTTCCTCCTTGCGCGCCCTCGACTCCTCACGCTGCTGCTTGGCAAGCTCGGCGCGCCGGCGCTCCTCCGCCTCGCGCGCCTCCTGCTGGGCCTTCAGTTCCTGCTCCAGCTGCCGCTTCGCCTCCTCGGCCTCCTTCGCCCTCCGCTCACGCTCCTGTTCCTGCCACCTGGCGCCTTCCTCCTTTCCTGTCCGCACCTTCTCGGCGAGCGCCTTCTTCTCGCCCTCCTCGGCACTGCGGGCCTCGGCCAGCAGCCTCTCAGTCTCGGCCTGCAGCTCCTCCTTCTTCTTTCTCCTCTCCTCGGCCTGCTTCCGCTGCAGTTCCTCCTTGCGCGCCCTCGACTCCTCACGCTGCTGCTTGGCAAGCTCGGCGCGCCGGCGCTCCTCCGCCTCGCGCGCCTCCTGCTGGGCCTTCAGTTCCTGCTCCAGCTGCCGCTTCGCCTCCTCGGCCTCCTTCGCCCTCCGCTCACGCTCCTGTTCCTGCCACCTGGCGCCTTCCTCCTTTCCTGTCCGCACCTTCTCGGCGAGCGCCTTCTTCTCGCCCTCCTCGGCACTGCGGGCCTCGGCCAGCAGCCTCTCAGTCTCGGCCTGCAGCTCCTCCTTCTTCTTTCTCCTCTCCTCGGCCTGCTTCCGCTGCAGTTCCTCCTTGCGTGCCCTCGACTCCTCACGCTGCTGCTTGGCAAGCTCGGCGCGCCGGCGCTCCTCCGCCTCGCGCGCCTCCTGCTGGGCCTTCAGTTCCTGCTCCAGCTGCCGCTTCGCCTCCTCGGCCTCCTTCGCCCTCCGCTCACGCTCCTGTTCCTGCCACTTGACCGCAATTGTTTTTTGATTGCGTATTTGTTTTACCATTTGTTGTACTCGTTCGAGATGAATGCTGTGTTCCTTATCAAGTTTGTCCTGCATTGCTCGCCTTCTTCTTCTTGCTGGTGTAATTGATGGTGATTCCGGGGTCGTATATACTGTGTTTTGAGTTTGTTTTACATGGTTTCCATTGAAATGGCGACTTGTGTAGGATAAGCTTGATGGATTCTCCACTATAAGTTGTAACATACTGCCTGTAAGGGTTTGTTTCGACTATAAGTATTTTGGTGATGTGACTTTGCTTAAATGCAAAAAAAAAAAGCACGTAAAATAAGAAACTGAGGTTCCATAGCGGTTAGTGTCTCAGTGTAATTATAATGGTAAATTAGAAAAGAGCAAACAGAAATGTTGTGCGCTTGGCCGCACTCCCAGCTGCCTGCGGCACGGGCTGTCAACGTCAAGGAAGCTTGCTGAATCCAATGTTTGCCGCGTTCTCACGGAAGCACTGGCGGCATACGTTGAGCTCGTACTTCCGAATAACCGCCTTCTGGTTCGAGCAGATCACGCAGTGGCGAGAGCCCTTGCCCATGCCTATCTTCTGCCGAGAACGCCATTGTTCGAGGTGGCCCATCGTTGTCTTGAGTGTATTGGGAAGCTAAGAGAGTAACTCTGGCACTGCGCAGCACATGAAAAAACAACCAAAAAAAGAAGACGCAAACAGAATCACAGAAGAAAAACCCACAAGGCGCAACCAACAATCCTATCCTGCAGCCAAAGAATACAGTAAAGGACAAGCACACACCCCAGATAGGGCCTGTTTCCCTACTCCTACAAGGGGATGTACCGCAAAGAAATCACAGTTTGGCTCGGTGTGCCCAACACACACACACGCACACAAACACACACCGCTTCAGAAAAGATTCATCCACCAGCCAAACGGCAACAAATAAACTAATGTAAAATGGGCTTTTACCGCCACCGGAATTGCTGTGAACTGACAAAGTGGTGGCGCTATTTGGGGCCCCGCAACCGCCGGACCCCGCCGCGTGGAGTGTGGCAGCAGCAGCAGTAGGGGGCGGGTGGGATAGAAAAAGAAAAAGCTTCGCTCCCTGCCACCCAACGTGGAATCTTTGGAAAGAAAAAACAGGTCATTGACAACAAAAAAAGGCAGTTGAGCCAGAAGCGCCATGATCTTTCCCAGCCCCACCGGGTCGCGCGCTCGTTGCAGGAGCTCCTAATAAAATGAAGATGACGCCATCGTCACCACCCGCTTTCCACGAGTCAACCTCTCACGCCACCAAGACCGCAACGCGTTTGTTGCCGGTCTTTGCGTGTGCGTTTCCGCCGTCCCTTCTTGCTGCGGCATTGTGCACCCGACTCACCACCTTCTTTCGACTGCTCTTCCACCGACTGTGCCCAAGGACACAAAGCCATTCGTCAATCCCACACCGCCCCTCATTTTCTTAGCGTTTTCTTTAGTTTTCACCTTCCACCGGGCAATATCCGTAGGTCTCTTGTCCCCTCCCACTCCAAATGCCACCGTCACGCGCCACTGGCAGCTAACGGCTGTCCTCAAGAAGTCCCAGCAACATGGCACGGTACCCCACGAGCGAGACGGTGCTCTCTGCGGCGCCCGTCACAGGGTTATAGGCCTCCTGCATCATCGGGGACCCACCGCTGATCTCCAACATACACAACCGCAGCCGCTTGAATAGTTCCCCTGCCGGGTCCCCGAGAATGTCAATGTATTTCGTTCTCAGAGCGTGCAGCATCAGGACGTTCGCTGAGAGCCACACGTGACCCATCCAGCGGTTCTCGTGGCGCAGACCCGCATCACGTGCCGCGCGCACCGAGTCGTACGAAACAGACATCAGGCCGTAGCGGGTCATCAGCTCCGTCTTGGCAAGTTCAACGATCGTCAGTGCACGCCCCTTGTTGTCGATGATCCCAAGAAGAAAGGGGTAGAGGTTGACATATCCTATGTACGGCGAGAAAGAGTCACCAGGGCAGCCAGCACGGTCGGCATAGCGCTGGTTTGCAGCATCCCAGTGCACCGTGTCCAACCAAACCGTCCAAAGCCGCTTGGGAACAGTCTCAGCAGCTCCCAAATGCAGCTCAACATCGCTGATGATCGAGCTCAGCAGTGCAACCCACGAAAAAAGATCCACATGCGCCTCCATTCTGTGGTAGCCGGGGCAAACGGGTCGGGGGTAGTCTGGCACCCGGACCAATGGTCCCCTCACTGAGTATTTCATTGATGAAACTGAATGCCTGAGCCTGCGCCCCAAAAAAAAACACCGCAGTTGTGTTGCCATCTCAGTGGCTTTTCCATACGTGCCGTCGCATGCCCGCAGCAGCGTTTTGGGGCGGCAATATTATGGCGCTACTGCTCCGCGTACAGC